CAGCTTACCTGACGGTGCCGGAGAACAGGTAGGGATCCTGCGGGATGATGCTGACGCGCGATCTGAGGTCGGCTAGCGGCACCGTGCGGATGTCGACTCCGTCCACGAGCACGTGTCCCTCACAGACGTCTGCCAGCCGCAGCAGCATGAGCAGCAGTGAGGATTTACCGCTGCCCGTGCGTCCACACACACCCACCTAGCAGGGAGAGATACTCCAACATTACACCCTGTATGTATGTATGTACACACACACCCACCTAGCAGGGAGAGATACTCAACATTACACCCTGCATGTATGTATGTACACACACACCCACCTAGCAGGGAGAGATACTCAACATTACACCCTGCATGTATGTATGTACACACACACCTAGCAGGGAGATGCTCACAGTTACCACAAATGTATATACTCACGCATGCATGGTGGGCACGCACGCGCATGCGCACACGCACACGCACACGCACACGCACATGCACCAAATGTGTGTGCATCACCGGCACGCATAAATGTAACAAACGCATGCACGCGCGCGCACGCACGCACGCACGCACGCACGCACGCACGTATGCATGCAGGCACACACGCACGCACACACGCACGCACACACGCATATGACTAGATATACATTGGTCTAAACACAACAGATGCATACCTTCTGTCCTGGAAGTATGTAAAGATTTATATTCTTGACGACAGGTGGCAGGGTATCAGCATATCTGATGGAGGCATTGTTAATTTGAACAGTTCCTGTGGTCGGCCAATCGGCAGAAGGAACAATCTCTCCTGCACACACACAGACATGCAAAGAGAACATTATTAGTATACGTTATATAAATATATCGTATATATTATAATATAATATACTAGTTACCTTACAGAATTCACGAACAGCACATACGATCATGAAATGATTCTTGTCAACCCTTAAATTGTTGTTGTTGTTGTTGTTTTTGTTGTTGTTGTTGTTGGATTTCTTCTTCTTATTATTATAATTTAAATATCATGGTATTTGTATTTATTTATATCATATATATTTATAATTGTGATTATTATTATATTGTGTAAGTATATTATCATTATTCATAATCTAGTTTATGCATTAGGTTGAATGAACAGACCTGCTGTTCCTGCCTGAGGTTCGGTAGGTAGCTGGCAGTAGTGAACAACGCGTTCCACGGAACTCATCTGCATCTCAGTTTCGGCCACGTTCAGAACAACCCAGTTGAACACGTCAGAGATCTGCAATGAACAACCTCACGTTCACGAGCTGACATAATTACAAGGTTCACCCACGAACGACATCATGTCACTAAAATAACCCAATCTCTGTTATCTATATTATAATTTAATTTGGTAATATCCAGACGAGATACTATGTGCTGCTGTCACACAGTACATGTTGCTTATTCTGTTGTAAAACACGTTTATATTTTACGAAAATGAAGCTCAGAGTGCATGACAACAACTTATCTGTTATATTACCATCACATTGCATCATGATTTGGCAACAAAAGCAATGTTCGTTGCAATAAAATTCAGCAGAAATCCACTTATGACACAGAAGCTTATGACGCACAATAAATTTCATCTGAATGCCAGCCCACTGGAGCTACGACTTACCACAATGGCATACGTGAGTGCAAGGCCGACCATACTTGCACAGTGAACGGTGGCGCCACATGCAAGTGCAAAGCTGATCGCTCCAACAGCAGCCACTAGCACCACAACCGCTGACAGGTAGCCCTAAACGAGAACAGCAACACAAGATGAAATAATACAGCCAGAGAAAAAAAACATTGTGCTCATCGGCTCATAAAAAATACTGCCAAAATCAAATGGGAATCACCACTGATTCTATGGAAAATGTAATTAATTATTATGCATTATTGTAAGTAATAATTATATTTATAGCTAAATATATTAAGTTATATTTTTCGATCATTAGATGGCGGTGCTTGCAGCAGACGTACCAGTCGGACTCCGAGCCAGACTTTCGCGGCGTTGACAAAGAGGGCAGCAGTGTTGTTGCGATCAATCAGCTTCATCATGCTTCGCAGAAACGTCTCCTGTCTCCTGTTAGCATGACACGCCAAACCATCGTGAGACACGTGACAACGATACAGTCAAACCATCGTGAGACACGTGACAATGATACAGTCAAACCATCGTGAGACACGTGACAATGATACAGTCAAACCATCGTGAGACACGTGACGATGACACAGTCACCTTTGTCACATTTGACACTAATGACACAATGAGGAATTGCAAAGCTACTATGAAATGTACGCGGAACACTACGCAGAGCCCTAGCCACAGTCACCCGGGATGAGCCCTAGCCACGGTCACCAGGGATGAGCCTTAGCCATGGTCACCAGGGATAAGCCCTGGCCACGGTCACCAGGGATGAGCCCTAGCCACAGTCACCAGGGATGAGCCCTAGCCACGGTCACCAGGGATAAGCCTTGGCCACGGTCACCAGGGATGAGCCCTGGCCACGGTCACCAGGGATGAGCCCTAGCCACGGTCACCAGGGATGAGCCCTAGCCACGGTCACCAGGGATGAGCCCTAGCCACGGTCACCAGGGATGAGCCCTAGCCACGATCACCAGAG